GTGTGTGTGTGTGTGTGTGAGTGTGTGTGTGTGTGAGTGTGTGTGTGTGTGTGTGAGTGTGTGTGAGTGTGTGTGTGTGTGAAATCTACACCACAGTAAAGCAGAACACTGTTAATGAATTCTAATGCTTTTACTTTTGTAATTCAGCAACCAGGCATTAACACCAACTTGTCCCTACCAAAATAAAAGCTCTGCGTCTCAGTTCAGGGGTCAAATCCTCTGGAGGCTGCATCTGAAGACACATCGACACAACGTCCATTTTGAAGGATCCCACAAGTGCATCCTTCCATCTCCAAGCCCAACATATCCCAGGATTCATTGCGCTCTGGCAACGAACCCGACGGACACACTTCACCAAACCTGAAGAAAAATCACACTTTCTCCTCAAACTGGATCAAATTTGTTCTTTTCATGTGACGTTGTTTGTCGTTGTTCTTTTCCTCAGACAGGAAACAAAGCCTGTGATTGGTTGATTGACAGTCGTCATTCATCTCTGTAATTGTTGTTATTTCACTGCTGCCATTTAAAAAAAATTACCTCGTCTTCGATGTGTTTTGGCATCGGAAAGAAAACCTCGCCGTGAGGTATTAACAGAGTCAGGCGTCATTACACACACACACACACACACACCTCTTTCCCTCCTCTCCTTCCTTTCACCTCTGATTCTCTCCTTCTTTCATTTCTCCTGTTCCTCAACCGTGAAATCTGCTCAATCTTTTATTTTTACATTTCAGGAGCTGCAGCTCAACTCAAACACACGCTCACGGTTTAAAATGCTGGAAACAATTCGCACAAACATTCTGAGCACGTTGATTATTCCCACTTCTTTACACAGTGTATGTAAATGTAAATATCAAAAGCACATTCAAACAGTGTGAAACAGTGAGAGCGACATGAAAACCGGAGACGACCCACTGAGCGCAAACATTGCATCACCCACTCGCCGCAGCCTCCTGCTGCAGCGAGCGTCTCCGGGGGGGGGGGTTTCGTCCACGAGTGAGAAAGTGAGACACTAAAGGATTTATTCCAAACGTCAGAATCAAAAACGACTGCACAAGTCAAGTAAAGTGAGAAAAGGCCTGTCAGGACCGAACAGACGCACATGATGCAAAGTCAGCGCTGAGTGCGGGCGCCGCCGCCACGGTGAGTCCACACCTCCATCTGTTCCAGTTACCCACTCATCCATCCGGTCACGCAGGTCTCACACATGGTGGCAGCAGGCACGACTCCCCCGCTGCCTCCAGCGCCTCCTTTGGGAAGAGGGGGGTCCTGAGGCATTCCCAGGCCAAATGGGACGTTTAATCCCCGCTGTGCATTGTGGGTCTGCCGCAGGGTTTTCGTCCCATGCGTGCAGTACCCCCACAGGGAGACGTCTCGGGAAAGAGCCCAAACCACTCTGGTTTTAACTTGAATGAAAAGCTTAATGTTGTTTTGATGGTTTGGAAAATGATCCATCGTTTGTCCATTTGTTTGTTGGTTGTTTTGGTTTTTTTTCTCATCGACAGCAGCTTCATGAACGACATCAGACTCAGTGATGCACCGGTGACCATTTCATCCCACAGCGCGTTAGCTTAGCTTAGTTTAGATGAGCTAAAATGAGTTTCGCTTAATTTAGCAGAAAGACTGGAATCGAGGGTAAAACCGGTCGTTTTAAATCATTTCTATTTTACACAATGTTTTTTTAATTCCCATTTTATTTGTATGGGATTTGTATATTTATTAAAAGTAACTCAAACCCTCAGAGAAAATAAACGCTGTGATGTTTCTCTCTCTCTCTGTGTCAGTCTCACTCTTCAGCGTCAACGTGTGTCAGCGTAACGGTTCGATAGCCGGTGGCTGTTAAAATCTATCACACACACACACACACGAAATACATTAAAAGGCCATTAAGAACATATTAGAGGTGTCGTATATTCACAATATACGAGAGACGTCATAGAGAAATGTGGGTGTGTGTGTGTGTGTGTGTGTGTGTGTGTGTGTGTGTGTGTGTGTGTGTGTGTGTGTGTGTGTGTGTGATGGACTCAGGTCAATACAATGCTAACATTAGTTTTGCAGGTTTTTTATAAAAGTGTTTAAAGATCAAACTCATTATGATCTGGGACCATCAACGTTCCGTTATTTCACCAACACAAAACTGTGACCTGCAGGTGGTGCCAGAGAAACAGTCGTAGGATCACCAGTGTCTTTTAGATTCATCCTCTGGGGACCATCATGATGTCAAATCAGCCGTGCTCACCCTCAGTCACTCTGACTGACGACGTGTCTCCGCTTCCACTAAAACGAAGTATCGCACGAACACTTGAACATAAAATGGCAGAAACCATCTTTGAGAAAAAAAATTTTTACATCTACTTTGGTTTTCTAGTTTGGTCAATGTCCCATCTGCTAACATGAAGGGGGTGGAGTTGATTATCTATGTTGCAGCCAGCCACCAGGGGGCGCTCCAGGTGATTTGGCTTCACTTTGGGGAGATGTCATTTCATGCAGCATCATCCACGATCGGTGGCAGGTCGTGCTCCACCGTCTCCACCTGCTCGTGCTCTGGAGCTTCACGAAGTCATTTTCCGAAGGTTTCGCTCTGTTGCTGCTTCCTTAACTCTGTTGTTCATGTTGTCACACGTTCTGATCCCGGCTGCAGTCGCCTGTATCAGCCACGATAGAGAAATCTGTCAAGAGACGATTTGACTGAAGGACGAGAATGAATGACTTCGTCCTGGTTGACAGAAAATAAAAATGACTTAGGAACAATGGAAGAAACTAGTTTATACACAGATCAGAACGTTTCCTTCCTGGCTTTGATTAAACCTCTAAAGAAATCATCAACCTCTTGGATGATGTTTAATTAATTAAGTTTGTTGTTACTGCAAAACGGAACATTTTCATTTCCCTTCATGCTCTTTGTGCACATTTGATCATTTGGACAATCAAAGCCTGGCGTGTGTCTCATATGTCAAATGTTCTGCTCCATTATTTAAATTCCACTCTGTCGTAAGAGACTGAACAAAAGATGAAAAACGTTCCAGTGTGAGTCGTTGGAGCCGAGGAGAAAAAAACATTGATTCAGCATCATGATGTTTCATCAGAGAAGCTGTGACCAGGTGCATTGTGGTCTACTTGCACTGTTCTCTGGTGTGTACTGCCATCTAGTGGCTGCTGCTGGTTTATTTTGTCATTAGGTACAGTAAGTGCACTCATGAACTTTACAATCATATTAATGGTTGAATATATTCTGGTTATAATCATTATAAACAGAATATACAACACATCTGTAAAATCAATACAACACAAATAAAAAACACGGTGTGAAATGTTTTCTTTGAATTGTTTATTGGGGAGTTGTGATGCAGAACAATTTCAGTTTCTGTGGATCAGTGACACATGAAAAGAACAAGAAGTTGTTTTACCTAGAAAGTTTAAACCCGGGTGACTTTGTCGTACATTCCTTACAATCCTGCAGACGGGTGGCAGCTGACTTCCTCTGACCGGATCGTTTTAATCCAACAAGGTTCTGAAATGTTTACCGGTAATTCTATAAAAAATAATGTCCATAACTGTTGTTTTCTGTTACCAACAAGGAAAATACAATTGATTCTGATCCTTTTTGGTCGTCTTACTTTAAAGCATAATTCCAATTGAAGCTGCCAAGACAAAAAATCCACAAATATACTTTCAATCTTTTATCGATTGAAATGTGTTGTTGACCAACAGCACAAGATTTTCACAGTCGTGACCTTTAGAGAAAACTAAAAAATGGGGATTTCAAAATGGAGGAAGCTATCCAATTAGCCTGTTAGCCATTTTTCACCATCCATGTTCATTTAACGTTTTCTTCTTGCTCCACAAAACCTCTAAGTTTTGCGATACAAGAGTCAAGAGTCATTTATTACTGCAGTTACTTCATTAATCAGATTTTTGATGCTCAGGTGAACGTCATGGTGCGATTTTCTAAAAAAATAAATGTTAAAAAACCTTCAGTGGTAAAAATAAATGTTGAGCCTAGAAATATGAGGCAGCTAAAATACCATCAAATAACACGCATGATATATGCATTGATATATTATCCACCAAAAAATTAGATATTTATAAGATTTTCTACGATTAAAAAAGCTGGTAAAGCACTTTTTCTGCCGCATGAAATCTTACTTTGCAAAACCTTGTCTTTCCTATCGTTAAAAAAAGGCAGAAACGCCGTCATACAAAGATGAGCCCCCTAGTGGCAGTGCAGAGGTTAAAAGTCAGGGGTCAAAGGTCAGGGGTCAAGGTTGGTCAGTAGCCCTTCATGGCGATGGACGCTCCTGATGCGTCGTGACGGTTGACCTGATGGACCATCAGGAGCGAGATCAACAGGCCGAGCAGCTGTGAAGACAGGAAGTCAGTTTCAAAACAGAGACACAAGAATAAACCAACAAAGAAACGGACAGAGCCGGAAACATTCCTACCGCTGTAACAGCACATCCAAAGAAGAAGCCCATGGCGACGCCGAAGGCGAGGTGAATGTACGAGTAGATTACTGTGCTGCAGGTCTACAGATAAAGAGACAGAGACGGTGTCAACATCTGGAAACATCACTGACCATAGAAGATTAGCTGCCTGATCGGAAACATACCAGTTCATAAATTTGGGCCGGTCCTTTGGTTCCCTGCAAGAAAACAAGCGCAAAACTACAGTTAGCACGAGAAACGAGTTCAGAGCTTCTGTCAAGTTCATTACATTTATTCAATAGATGACAAAACTAACCGAAGGTCTGGCTGTGCATTGATCACTTCCACCATATGGCCCTTGTCCCCTGTTCCTGCACTCACAGGACTCAGGGATGTCTTCGCCCCAGTCCTTGGCGCTCACCACTCCACAGCAGTGAGCCTGAAACCACAGACCGGTCAGAACCGGAACCAGTTACAGTTGGATCCCACGTGAATAAAGTGACTGAGATAATACAGGAAACATTAACGACCTCACATTGAAAAGTTTCGCCCTCAGATAGTGGAGAGTTTTCAATGTGTCACAGTTCGGAATGTAAAATACACGTTGCACTGTTTTTCTAACTCAATACTCACCATTACTTGTACCATTTACTTATAAAAGAACCATTTACCATAATGTACTATTCAATATATAGATTTTTTTTAAATACAGTTTTAATAAATTATTATATTTTATTCTACTACTTGAATTTATACATTCATAATTATACTACATCAGGTACTGATATTTAGTATACTACGGTGAAAGTATACCTTTTGTATTAATATATAGCACATACCCGTGTTATACACGTTTTCACTACTTATCTTAACTTATCTCATTAATACACAGAGAACATACAGAAAGCTGCAGCGTATTGAGCATCTCTTTCATTCCATCGTCATCCATGAAGGGCTTCACCAGTTCAGCGGAGGCGCTATCAAATAGATCTCTGACCTGCAAAGAGCGAGAGAGCGACGTTAGCCTAACAACGTGAACAACAGCTTATTAGCACATTCAGAGAGACTTAAGAAAGTTAGACATGGAGAGACAACTTCAGTAAAATGAAAAAGAATAGTTAGCATAGGTTAGTAACAGAAAGATGCTACGGAAAGAACTTCATGTTACTTTTGAGTGAAAACAGACTAAAGAGAGAAGTTTAGCGCGACTAATAAACACAAAGGAACAGAGACAAAATTAGCATCGAGACATTAGCTCGACAGATATTTGACCTTGTTCCTCGTGACAACCATAACGATGCCAAAGATCATCATGATGATCATTCCGGCCACCATGAAACCTGCGAACTGAACGAAACAACAATTAGGAGCGGCCGAACAGAGAAAATGGATTCTTATCGGTTCTGCCTCTGCATCATGTCGTACGTACTATTTTCAGGGCCAGAGCGTTCTCAGCGCAGGCTGCGTAGATCCCCAGGGAGGAGATGCCGAGGACGCCGATGGCAAACAACCACATCCAACCCAGGCTGGGGCTCCCGAACGCCGACAGCTGCTCGGACACGACCGAACCGAAACAAACAGGCGCAGGATTATTTCACATCTACCATAAAGTTTTCAGGCATTTTCAGCATTTCAACAAACATTCATTGATCTTGATGAATGACGAAAACATCTGGGACTGATGTTTGTGGGATTTGTTGCAGCCTGATTGAATTTAATGATCGTTGGGTCTCGGTGCCATCCCAGTTTTTATCCTTTGGGATAAATTAAGTTTCCTGTTTCTGATTTGATAATATTGTGAGACTCATCCTGTTTTTCTGTCCCAGAGTGGAAACCTCCCTGAGCAACATCTGGTCCGTCTTACATGAAGAAATCAGAGGCTCCGCCACATCTGGGCAGCTACTCACCTCCTGATCCTTCACCTCAGCTTGTTCTCAACATTTCTAAACAGGTATGTTTTCTCCGAAGTCTCCACACGACCAGACCAGCCTCGACTTGCTCACACGCAAACCAGCTGCTTTTGTTTCAAATAAAACTTAGAGGATATTAGATTTCGGAGGGTTCTGTGGTTACATAACAGTCTTTAAACGTTGCGTAACGGAGAGTCTGTTCCCCCCCCCCCCCCGTGCAAACACTTTCTCCACATCTGACTGTAGTTATCCTCCCACACTGTGAGTCACATTACAGTAAACCTGCTGCCAAGAGCCTTCCAGTAACAGGGATGTTGGGAAATTCATGTTTGACAGTGACTCAAAGATAAAGATAATGGAGGAACTTTGTGAGAGAATCGGATCACAGGTTTCGTTCTGTTCTCTGTCAGCGCTTCAACACATCGACAGGTCATTTTTACACGTACTCCATTTTATTTCATTTGGCTCATGTCCCGTCTTCTGACAAGGAGGAGGTGTGGTTTACGACTTATACTACAGTTAGCCACTAGGGGGCATTCAAGACACTTTGGCTTCACTTTCAAAAAGCGGTCACATCGTCCATTTTTATTCACAGTCTGTGGTGGAGCCATGATTACGAGATGATTTAAGTTTAGTTATCGCAAACCTGAAACAAAAAGTGTGTTATTTTATTGTTGTTTCTAAAATATTCTATTCTTTATATCTATTTTGACACAGCATGTAAAATAGCGTTAGCGTTACCTCGAAGCTGTAGGCGGTGAGCCTCACCGTCCCGTAGATCAGCAAACATCCGAGGATCTGAGGAGGCGACACGTTCGTTAGCGTTAATAAAAGCTCAGGGTACGGAGGCAGAAAGGTGCCACTTTAATAAAGAGTCTTCTAAAACAAAAAGTGGAAGAATAAACAGAAGCTGCAAACAAATATAAATATATATATATATTTAATGTACTTCTCCTGTGAGACCCTTCAATGCCTCCAATGCTACAAAATCTGCACAACTTTATTAGTAAAGTTTCCAGTTGTTGTTGTTGTTGTTGTATAAATATTAGAACATTTAAATGACAAAAAGGGAAAAACACATTTAACGAGGCGACAACTGCTTGAGTTGTATTTTTTATTTACTTTAAGGAGAAAATCATTCTGTAAAATGATCAAATTAAAACTTTTGTTTACACCAAATGAAAAAATGTTGTCTCTTGGTAGAATTTCTGTTTCTCCGTTCAGTCACCGGAGGAAAACATAAATCTAAGAACAGAACTGAAAGAAAATATTTCAATCCAATGCATCTGTACATGATAAACGATTAAATAAATAAAAGCCAGTGGCAGGAAGCTTGAACAGGAAATCAGGTCGGGAGGGGAACAAAAACAAAAACCTTTATTCAGTGTAAATTTAACTTTCAGTGTTTTATTATGATAATGAATTAAGATATTCATTGATTTATTCCTCACAATAAAAGTGGATCTTTATTGTTCCAGCAGCTTCGTTCATGAACGTTTGGGTTTGTCTGTATAGTTGAGGCTCGGGGGTGAAATCTGAGACGTAGCTGTTTTTTTCTCTCTGGAACCAAATGTTTACTGATGAAAAAAAAAAAGGCTGACGAACTTATTGAAGAATGTGAGTGAAACATGATGCTTCAACACATTTTATCACTTCACATTTCATTTTATCAAACATTTTACCTTCGACAAATACAATTAAAGGAATTTAGACCTTTTTGATTCAATATAAAGGTTGTTTTTTTTTAATCAGATTTTTCTCCTAAGTTTGTAAATCTTTATTTCCAGTGTTGCTTTAGGAGCAAAATACTTTTTTCTGTGTTTCAATCAAACTGACTCATGTAACTTTGTGTCAAACAGATTAAAACTGATGTTTACGAAGAAATTAAACTGAGATCAAAGCAAAAAACAGATATTATGAAAGTACTTTTGGTTTCTTTCATTCCAAACACATAAATGTGAATTAACTCAAAATAACAACAAATGATTTTAAATAAAAAACAAGTCAAGAAAAAAAGAAAAAAAAAGAAAAGTTTTTCTACTCACAGCAAACATCACGTTGAAGAAGATGAAGAGACATTTCAGGCATCCGTTAATTTTCCCCATTTTCACTTTTGTGGTGAAAGTTTCCCAGGATATGAAGAAGTGAGAGCGTGAGAGTGTGAGTGTGTGTGATGATGTGCAGCAGGGAAAGCTCAGATAAAAATGCCAAGAGAATGTATGTGTGTGCAGGAGGAACATAGAGCTGCGTCACACAGATCTGCTCTGACTTGAGACCTAGAGGTTGAAGAGATTCACATGAAAACGACAAAAGCTCCAAGAACTAACTTTAGATTTCTAAATAAATGATGAGAGGAGCTCTTGTGTTTATTTGCAAAAAGAATAATAATGATTTCTATTAAAAATCACGTGACTCTGATCCATTATCACCGCAGGGGGCATGTTAAAAACAAAACGCTCATGACGTCTTCTAACATTTTTAATTCACCTACAATTCTTTATATTTTGAAGCAGTTATGGTTAAATTAAATTAGATTACTTATTGTTTTCAGTGTCAAAATTGAACTTTTTTATAACTTTACGTCAAATCAGTAAAAGAAAAGAAAAACGTTAAAAACAACTTGTACAGTTCAAAAGTCATAAAGATTTTAAAAGACCACAGGAAAAATGAATGACTTGTAAAAACAGTTAAATGTATTTTTAAGGATTAAAATAACAAAGACCGAAACGAGGGAACCGTCCAACACAAAAGAAATTTTAAAATAATAAAATACAAAAAGCTGTGGTTTTGTTGCTTCTGTGAAAAAACAGGAAAAGGAAACAGCTCAGTTCCTGTCTGGTCGGCTGCACATCTATGGCGTGTTGACAGAATGTCGAGGCCTCAGATAACGACTCCATCTTTACGAATGAAACACGGAGAGGGGGAGGGGTGGCAGTTAAAAAGTCAGAGGGTTGTGTTTTAGTGTTTCTAATTCGTTAAAAGAATAATGATCACAACAGCAGTTGGAGGATTAAGCATCAAAGTTACGTGTTTTTTATGTTGCTCAGAATTCAAAAGGACAGTTACGGGGGATTTCTGTGGTTTTTTTCAGTTGCACAGTTTCCTGCATCAGACCCCAAAAAACCCCACAGAGGTGTGAAAACATGTTGGCTGAGGTCGTGGAAAATCAGGTTCTGAGAACAGGTGGAGAATTTTCCCCTGAAGAAAACACATTTAAATTTGTATTTGTGTTCTGATGAGTTCTGCTCCCTCAGTTCATGACGTCTCGTTCAGACCGAGTCAGGAGTCGTAATATTGTTGTGAATGTAAATCAGTTAATCTGTGGTAGTTTTGTGACGAAGCTCAACAGCTTCATCCTCTGGGGACCAAGATGATGCTCAACAGATTTCCTGGTCTCGCTGTGTGTTGCTTAAATACACCAGAACATGATGGAGTCAATATCATAAAACCAATTAACGTCCCGACGATCGTGTCGTGACCTCCGCCCTCATCTCCAATCAGTCAGACTTTATTTTCATGAAATCTCCCTCCACCAACATCGTCCAAGCTCAGACCGACAACAACATCAACAGGAAGTGAGAGGGGGCGAAGAGGGAACGACAAAAAATAAAAACAAACCTTCACAGATATCAGTTCTTCAAATATGTCGGAACCACGTTCATCACGTTCGATGAATTATTCTCTGAGAAATCAAGGGAAGTTTGGAAAAACATTGTTTATCATAGTGTTGAAGTAAAAGGTGAAAACATAACCTCCCTGGTGGACGTAACGAAATTCAAACCTAAAAAACACAGATCGCATTTCAGTCACAACGTCACACTGTCGATGGACATGGACGCCGAGACAGCTCAGTGAAGTCGAAAACATCTTGTTCGCCCCCTGGTGTCTGGCTGCAGTAAAGGTCACCTACTCCATGTTAGCAGATGGGACATGGACCAAACTAGAAAGTCAAAAGTCACCTCTGATCAGTTTGGTTGTAATTCGTTCATTTATAAAATAAAAATGTCATGATTGACAGCTCAGACGTAACATAACGTAAATCTGAGCTGCTCGTTGATTCTAAACATTCTGGAAGATAAAGCAGCTTAAAATATATTTTTTTACATTTTTCCTCATATTGTCTGTATGTGAGTTTTTCAACGCTGCTAAAGAAACGAGGTTCCTTCAGTTTTCAGCTCATGAAGACGTTGTGAGGTTTTTCACTTTCGTTTTCCCAGAATTGTAAACAAACTCCCCCAAACGAGAAGAGCAAGTAACCGCCTGTGTGTGTGTGTGTGTGTGTGTGAGTGTGTGTGTGTGTGTGTGTGTGTGCGTGAGCGTGTGTTGTTCACACACTTTATAAAGATGCAAGAAACTGGAAACACACGATCAAAGCTTTACAATAAGAAAGACGTGATACTACAAGAATAAGGTTAAATACTTCTAGAATTAAGTTGTAATATCACAAGAATATAGTAATACTGTGAGAATAAAGTTGTGATACTGTGAGAATAAAGTTGTGATACTGTGAGAATGGAGGTGTCATATTAGTCTAAATCATATGACCTGTAGATACACTCATTAAACAACTGAAGCCCAGGAGGGGCCTGGATCACCACTTCCTGTTCCTCATATTCTTTCTGATGAGTTCGGCAGATTTAATAAATCTTCCGGCAGCTGCGTCCTGTTCATCTGGAAATCTGTTCTTTTGAAACCAAAAATTTGAATTAAACAGTTTTGTATTTATGAATAATTATATCGTTGGTTCCAGATGTTTTAACGCTGCTACTGGTTTATTTCAGTTTTTATTCTACATCTAGTTTGTTTTGGACCTAAGTATTACAGTTCCCATGGTATATGTATGCATAGATGTATATTACATATATTGCACACATATTTATTACACATTATTAATGTATATTATGTATATACCACACATATATTATACATATATTACATATTATAAATCTAAGTATATATATATATATATATAAATCTTATGGCCTGCCGTTCAGGAAATGAAACCTTTGAATATATTGAATGAAGTCTGAATATATGGAATGACACTTGACTGACGTCAGACTTCACCGCAGTGCCTGCGACCATCTTGTGTAACGTGGATGCTATAGCTAAAAGTGAGTGACAATGAGTTAGTCCGCTCACAATCTCGCTGCAGCAATATTAAACTATGAGGACATCAGTAACACACTGGCGAAGCTGCTGCGGCTACAGGGACACGCAGACGAATGCATAATGAGATTATGTCGAAACGTTGAATATATGGAATGAAACTTTGAATATATACATTTGTCTGCGTGTCCCTGTAGCCGCAGCAGCTTCGCCAGTGGCGGAGAAGTCCCGCGTCAGAGCTCAGTGCCACTACGCACGGCCCTTCACTGTGTTTCACCTTCGTTAAATCACCTGAAAACTATGTCAAGCTGACCACACGGTGTCTTGGAACCTTCCTTGTGTACGGGTGGAGATTGTACACGGGGTGTTGTCGGGCTCTCCTGTGAGGATGAAGACACGCTGAGGTCGGCCTGATAAACAGCTGCCTGATGTAGGAGCTCTGCCAGGATCAAAAGGGAGCGAACTTCCTTGTCAGTTGAACGGTATTGGGCGGGGCTATCGGGGGGGATTTTGGGCCGTACACACATTTGCCAGTGAAGTCTGAAGTCAGTCAAGTTTCATTTTATATATTCAATGGTTTCATTTCCTGAACGGCATGCCATAAAATCTAAGTAAAGATCGGAGAAAAGTAAAATGGTTTTAATCAGATTTAACTTGTGAATCTCTGGAGGAGCTCATTATGAGACGAGCGGACCAAACTATTAAACTGTCACAGGATTTTTGTTCTTTTAAGGTTTTAATGTTTATTCGACACAATAAAATACTTTAACTTTTGATTTTTCAAACCACAAGTTGATTATAGATCAGTGAAAAAACCCACAGTGCCATCACAGTTACATTGTGTTGTTGCCTACAGCAGTTCAGTGACGACCCGGAATCTCAACGGATCGCGTCCACGCAGGATTTCAAAGGAAAGTTTCCAGATCAAAGCCGTGTCGGTGTGGTGTTCCTAATAAAGTGCTCACTAAGTGAAATGTGGTGAAAACGCTTGAGGCTGTGCACAATACACAATACTGCCTCACTGTGGCCGCAGGAGGAAACTTCAACTCCAGACCACACCCACACACACACACACACACACACACACACACACACACACACACACACACACACATTACTAAACAGGAGAGAGCTTTATCTATAAAGTATTTATCAAACGTTTTATCTCAGCTAACAGACGTAACAATTTTTTTAGACGAAGGCTCTCGTCCCTGAAGTCCTGATGTTAAGTTTAGGAGGAAAGATCTCGTCTCAGTTCAGCTGCTGTCGGAGATTATTCTCCACAAATCACTTCAGAATCACGACAAACATCTGAGATAGGAGCTGTCCTGAATCTCCGTGGTTTCTGGATCCTTCCCTGTTTTAAATTATTGTTGAAACAACCTGACGTCTCTGGAGCTAAAGGGAAATCGAGCCAATTACTAATTATTTTAAATTGCAGACTTCCGCCAGATCTTCTGGAGAAATGTCACCAGCCTCTCCTCCCCCCTGAAGAGGCCCCATGTTGTTCCTGTCTGACTGAACGATGATGATGAAGCTCGGAGGGAGGAGGTTGTTCTTGGAGTTCCATGTCGGCAGCGTCTGCAGGACTCTGTGGAGGGGGGAGGGGTCAGGTGTGGGAGGGTTTTGGTTGGTATTTTACTCGGTTGTAGTCGTCGACGGTGGTTTCTACGGGAGGCGTCTTCCAGTATTCCTCCAGACCCAAAGCCAGACACAGAGCGATGGCCGCCATCTGCAGTTAAGATTCCACAAGAAACTTCAGAACCTGCATCAGCTTATAAAAACACACGTTTAATAAAAGCACAGTTAGTCACCGTGTTTTCACTACGTCACAAACCTCCGATTCAAATAACCGGACTTTACTTTCGTGTCTTTATTTTACCGTGATGGTGGCGAACGCTGAAATGATTCCGATCCTGAGTTTTATGGGGAAACTCAAGTAGCTCTTCAGGACGGGGCCGCAGGGCTGCCGCACACAGAGGTCACAGGTCAAACAAAGGTCACGAAGGGAGCATCCCCCCCACGGGAGTGATTGTGAAGTGAAATCATTTCATGCACGTTTGAATATGAACAAACAAGGGAAGTAGGGCGGTGGAGTCACCTCAGAGTGAACCCATAATTCATCAGTGGGCTGTGGGGTGGGGGGGTTGGCCATCACACAGCGCCGGTCTGAGCTCCAGTTACCAGGCCGAGAGCTGCGGTGGAGAGAAGAGGAACAACACTTCAGGACCAGAGGCTCCAACGTTAAGAGCTCATTGTGTTGATCCGTCTGACCTCAGCTGCAGGTCGGAGGAGGGAGGAGCCGGCGAGCAGAAACAGGAAACAGGAAGTTGATTTTCCCAGTCTTCAAAACTCCTCAAACCACAACACGAGTCCTGAGACACGAACATCATGAAGAGTTTGAAATGAGAGTTTCAGCCATGATAGTGTGATTTAAGGGATGAATCATAAGAGAGGACTCAACTGAAGTCTGCAGTTTGTTCAGTTGACTCTGGATGTAACGTTCCGCTCTGTGCAGAGGAGTCACGTTCTGAAACACCTCGTCCACAGCGCTGTCCATCTGCAGGACACAAGCACAGTGTCACTGTCTCATGGGACAGACACATCAGTGTCACATTCAGGTGAAAGAGTGAATATAAACGTTTTATCAGTGTGTTTTATCTTAATGGTATGAATTGTTGTTTGTTTTAGAATGGGTCCTAGACTGTGATGACCACTGCAGCCACTAGGGGGCACCAGCAGCAGATGATAGTGGATTTCACAGTAACACCTGATCACCTGAGCCTGAACCTGGACCAGCGGAGCGGCCACGACGATCAGAGCCACGAACTCCACGAAAATCAGAGCAGAGAACTGTGGGAGAAAATCGCAGGTTAGTGCGTGTGTGTGTGTGTGTGTGTGTGTGTGTGTGTGTGTGTGTGTGTGTGTGTGTGTGTCTCACCACCAGCAGCAGAGGTTTCAGGTCTAAAGACGCAGCACAGACGCCCACAACAGACAAAAGCACAGTGATGGGACCAAACACCTGGAGGACGAGTAAACCATCACTACTGGACAACTGGTTGAACAACTAGGAGAGAGAGAGAG